GTTTGAATTCGTATAATATTTATACTTGTCTTTATTTTATAACAAAGTTTTTAATAATCATCTCATTTTGAAAGAGCGATTGCTCACCCGTAATAGAAGATATTGTGGTTTTATTGAAACAAGCGGTCCGTTTTATGATTAAATCAATCAGTGACACTTTCAAAATGCCAACTCAATTATGATAAGAAAAGTAATTTCAATTCCATTTGCTATAACGCCAGATCATCTAGAAGGAAAGAGAAGAAAGGTGTTACATACTTACATCACATGGTTGTCATAATTTTCTTAGATCATCTCCGGCCCTAACACTAAATTTCACATTAAAATAGTGTAACATTAAATTTACTTCAACCATTACACCATTTTTATACTAAAAGGGAATATTTCTTCTCTCTCTTCAATATTATATTATTATCTTCTATTTATATTTTTTTTATTTCCTTCAAACAAATTCTATCTTTTTTTCTTTTTTCCATATTCATCACATATAATTCACATTCACCATTTATATAATCATTTATTATAAAATTATTTTAAAGAATAAATCAACTAAAAGTGAAATCATTGATAAAAGATAATTAAATAAATATTACATCATAGTCAAATTTAATTTAAGTACCACATGAATATTCAACTTTCGCCTCTATTCTCCCATAAATGCTTGATTAATGCATTACGAAGTGCGAAATGCGCATCTTTATCCTTAATTTTTTTTTGTCGAGCTAAAAATTATTCAAATCGGTGATCTTCATCTACTGTCATTTTTACCGTAGGAGCTGGACATTCACGTGCATCTTGAATTGGTGCATTAAGATCACGCTCGTCCTCAATTATCATGTTATGCAGTATAATACATGTGTCATTATATCACCTCTTGAGGCGATGGAAAAGTCTAAGTAACTCAAGAAATGAAGCTTCGAGACAAAAAGAATTCAAAAAAGAAATAAAATTTTATTGACGAAGATGAATTCCATTGACGATCCAAATCTTCGTGAATTTTTGCGACAAGAACAAAAATGAATAATCGATAAAAGAAGTCAATAATTTCAACAACCACAAACACAACAATTTTCTATCCCATTCTCTTAGTTTTTTAGTAATTTTGGTGCACTGGAAATGACATACCAGATTACTAAACTTATGTTTTATCTTTTTTAATGTAATTTCAATTTTAATGTATCCTCTTTTGATGTACTTTTAATTTTAATGTATTTTTATTTTATGTATTGTTCATTTTCTTTTTTAAATTTTAGTTTTTACTTTTTAATTTTAGCAACATTAGATATCTTACATTTGCATTTTTTATTTTTAAATAATGGTTATATTTCTTTTTATACAATAATAATAATAATAAAATTAATTTATAATTTTATATAAATATAATATATACAAAAATTAATATATAAAAAAAAAGATATAAAATTAAAATTATAAAGATTTTAATATAAAAATTAATTATATACACAATATATGATAAATTAAAAGTTCAAAAAAATAAAATAATAAATAAAATAATAATAAATCAAATTTGGAGCTGATGAATAGTGTCACACCAAATTTGGTGTGACACTATTCACACACTAAAATGGTCTATAATTTGGTGTTTCATTGGAGCAAAAAAAAATTAAATTTTACACCAAATTTAGATTTGGTGCAAAAAATAGTGCACCATTGGAGATGCAACAACAACAACAACAACAACAACAACCCAGTATAATCCCACTTAGTGGGGTCTGGGGAGAGTAGTGTGTACGCAGACCTTACCCCTACCCTGGGGTAGAGAGGCTGTTTCCAAATAGACCCTGGAGATGCCCTTACCATATTCGATTTTTCTATTTTTTGAAGGAAAGGGCTACATACTTATCATAATTAGATTTTTCTTTTTCTAGAAGGAAAATATAATTCTTCCATATTTGGCTAGTTCCTTTTCTTAGGGGAAAAGATTTGGACTTCTATAAAGTGAGAATCCTTCGACAGTATCCACAATGTAGGGTTTGGGAGTCTTGTTTAGGAAGAAATTTTTCCGGGACAAGTATTATTGCGCCACTTGTATTTGCCTATTTGTGAGGTTGTTCTCTCGATATTTTATACTCTCTTTTATTTAGTAGATTGCTCATTTCCGTCGTGGATGTCAATTAATTGACCGAACCATGTTAAATGTTTGTGTATGTTTTGATATATTTATCTTTTGTTGTGTGATTTATCATCGTTCAAGGTTGCTTAACTAGATTTCGCATTGACAAGCGCAAAACACAACATAAAATTAATGCTCGCTGGTCAAAGATAGTATAGTTAATTTATCATCTCCACGGGGATTGAATTTAAATAATGTTCAATTAACTTATGGTTTTCTGCTATTCACAATGATCAACACTTGATTTAGGGTAATTACTAACTACACTTAACTACTAAATTAAGATTACAACTAATTAGACTTGACCACAGATAATATAGTTAAACTAAAATGGTTTGTAAACAACATGAAAAATAAGGGCGACAGAATAGGTGTATGATAACTATTCAAGATCTTAACTCTGTTTAAATTCACTTCTAATGTTTTAATGATTTTCACGAATTCACTCGATAATAAGCTTAAATGTAAGGTCAAGATTCCTTTCTCGATTAAATATGAACTATACAAAATAAACTAATATGAAGCACTATGAAAATATGCAAGAATACGTGAATGGACTAATCTTTAGGAAAACGTCTCTCGAATATTCTCCTATCTTGGTTTAATCAATAATTTAAAAAGTTCTCTCGATTACTTAGATGAATTACTAAATTAAACCAAACCAAATAATATAAAGATAATCACCAACATATTTCTCTTTCGATTAAATAAACCGGTGAATAATTTTGCAATCAATTCAAAGCTCCATAAATATATTCAAACAATTAAACTAGAGTTAAATCTACAAACAACACTCAAAATACCATATTCGTTAAAACCCTAGGAAAGATCTATACCATAGATGGAGAAAGTCATCACAAATAAGTTTAAGAACATATAGAACATCAAAGACAACTTTGTAATACAAACTCACGTTTTGCCTGATTGTTGGCAAGAGAATTGATGAAATCTTGTGTCTTCAAGCCGTGGTAGCTCTCCAAAACTTTTCTAGGTCGAACGTCACCTAAAAAGCGTGTTTCCAGTGTATTTATACCAAGTAGGAACGAACTCGGACGAAACTACCCTCTTTGAGCCGAAGTGAAAAAACCTGCAAACTTATTACACTTCATGTGTCGCTCCCGCGTCGCACTATGCCTTGCATTAGTGTAATTTACTCAGTTGCAAACCCTCTGAACTTCGCTTGTCTGACAGACTTTTGTACTACTGCATCGCACTATACCACGCGCCCTGCGTTGCATTAGTGTATTTTATGTCAAACCCAAGAACTCCAAGTCTTTGAACTTCTAACGAGCTTTTGTACTAATGTGATGCTTAATGACACGCTTTATATGATGCAATAGTACATTTTGCTCCAGCCCATGCGTTTTCTTTCAACTTTCATAAGCAACGCTGGTCCACAAGTCCCGGATGCGATCCCGGTTTAATTCTTTGGCTTTTACACAAACTTCAAAGCTCCAAATTATTCGATTTAGCTCCAATTTATCTTTTTAATTCGGAATCATTTCCTGCAAGGCATAAACACGTAATAAGTACAAATCACCATCATTTAAGTTCAAACACACGTAAATTGCAGTAATTAAAATATAAACTACGGTTAAAACACAGGTTTCTAGCCTACCATCACGCATGACACCCGATTACTTCAATCCTATATAACAAAAGGCCATTCTTTTCAACCCTCCAAAGCAAAACTTATCCAAGCCATTTATTGCATCTTGTAAAGCTACCATAATATTTTTTGAATAGAGAATATGATTTTGAGGAAGCTACGTACTTTTAAACAAGTAAAAAAGGATGGGCGTGAAACTTTAATAGCCAATGCTGCAATCATCAAAGTTGGTACGATTTCTTGTGAGCAATTGATATATGAAATCTTTTTATATTCCCCGATCGATTGGAATAAAACCAAAAGACAAGCAAATAATACTTAACAAAGTATGTGCATACAAATACCTTGAGGTTAGAATGGTCAAAAACAGCGTAAAACTCAATAACATGTAGAGAAAATTGCTCACCAATACTAGGACTCATTGTCTTTTTATTCATATGTGTTTTTTAATTTGGATAGCAAGCATGTTCGGATAAGTGTCTTTTTATTTAGAACAAGGAATCTTAATAGCTCGGTTGTGAGGGTTTGATTCTTACCTTATAATCCCCTTTTCTATTTTCCCTTTAGAAAAAGACCTACTTTATGATTAAACCAACAACACCACTTTGAAGATGCCATCTTGTTTACAAGAAAATTTCCAATTCCATACGAAGCAAAACTTATTCGACCTATTAATTGCATCTTGAAAAATTACCCACACATCTTTCCTTTAAAGAGAAGCTTTGAACAAAGTAAACAAGGAGGGCCATCAAACTTTAGTAGTCAATGTTACATTAGCAATGGTTAAAAGAAAATAGTTATTCGTTTATAATATTCACTAAAAAATATGTTAGATAATAAAATTTTTAGTAACAGGTCCAATATAGATAAAAATCATATTATCTACTTAGAAAATAGATAATCAGATGGATAACTAATGGGTTAACTTTTACATCTGTAAAGACTCAAATTAGAGATTCCTCAAGTTTGGAAGAATAAAAATTCTCCCAAAAATGATCCTATTCAGGAAGTCAATGATAATATGGATATCCATATTATCCTCCGAATAACCCGTTTTTTATCTATATTAAATATGAGTCGGATCGAATAATTTACCCGTTTTTTAAGTTATACATCCGACCCGTCCGTTTGCCCCTAGTCAAAGTTAATACGAATTCTTGTGAGCAATTGATATGTGAAAGTTCTTTTTGACATTATTCGTGTATATAATTGGAATTAAAAAACAAACAAACCATACTTGAACTGAAAATTAACATGTTCAATGAAAAAACACTTGTATGTTATATATCTGTCTATTTACAAGAAGCAAGAGAGAATATGTTGTACCCCTCTTATATTAGGAAAACAAAATTGGCTGAAATAATTTTCCATGTCGCTTAATCTCGTATTCAAGCTATGTAAGTTGGTAATTAAAGAACGTTATAACAGAAACCAAAAAAGAAGTAACCTAAATATTAATATCAGAATTACTTGCTATATTTGTGGAGAAAAAGTAAAAATAATATATGCATCATTAGATCAGACAGCGGTAAGGCCATTAATACTGTATCTTGGTCTTGTTCTGTCTAGTGATAGATTCTCTTCTATGGCCTTCCTCTTGTTATTATTATTGGCTTGTAATTTCTGCTGTTGATTTTGTTCTGTATTTGACTCTGTTTGTGGTACTTCTTCTGATGCAATTTCTATTTTTTCTTGTGTCACAATTTTCTCAGCTTCTTGTTGCTGGCTTTTACTTCTGGTTTTCATCATATGAGGTCTAAGTTTATTAACATCTGATAATCTTACTGGCTTCAAGAAAAATTCTTCTGCCCCTCCTTCTAAACATCTGTAAATTAATACAAAAATAAATTATTTTTCCATCAACATACAGGAAGATAAAATTTATTTATTTTTTACTCCAAAAGAGATTAAAATTTTCTCATTTCTCACCTATTGATTCTTGAAGGAACATTTTCAGATGACATAATCACTACAGGTATGTTTCTCAGAGATGAAGATTCCTGTCATAGAAAAAAAACTTTAAGATTAAGTAAACACAAGATCTAAATACAAAGTTAAAATTGGGTTTTAAACTGAAATTTGCAAGAAAAAATACCTTAATTTTTTTGAGCAAATCATAGCCTGTCATCCCAGGCATACAGTAATCTGTGATAATAAGATTGATTTCAGCTTCTTGATGATTGTTGCCATCTTCTTGTAAACCCAAAAATTCTAAAGCTTTACTTCCAGAATCAACAGTAGTAACTGCATAAACAAAACACAAAATACCAACAACAAAAAAATCAGTACCAAAACAAAATAAACCATAAATTAAATACACTTCAATAAATTAAAATGAAGAAAGTACCTTGACAAGATGAAGTTTTTAATAGCCTTTCAACGAGTTTCCTGTCTATTATGCTATCATCAACAGCTAAAACATGAAACTGAGACTCTGCTTCTGCCATTCCCATTGTTCCAATTTTTCAAAATTAAAAAACAGATCTTTGAAATATGAGAAGAAAAAAAAGTTGGCTTTTTTTTTTTGATGGGGTTCTTGTTTTTTGGCTTACTTTAAAATGGTGATGAGTTTAGCTTTGTAAAGAAGTAAAAAACGCAACAAAATCTCCACAACTCACAAAGCAAGATCTGACCAAATCTTTCCAAATTTCTAAGCTGATTTTGAATTATAAGGCAAGCAATGGGCAAGTCTAATAAAAAAAAGGAAAATAATATAAAAGAAATCAATATTTTTACCAATCTAGAACATGGGGGTTGGCTACTTAATATTGTATTGGTTGAAGAAGATAATGATTCTTGGAGGTTGAAGAAAAATACATATAGCTACACTTACTATAAATATTATAGAGAAGAAAAGTTTTGAGGATTAGAAAGGAAAAAAAGGAAGGTAGGGGTCGGCTGTTTTGGAAGGAGGAGGGAGCAGGGTGGGTGTGTGTGTACGATGTTGGACCCACAAAATCCACCCAAAAGATACAGGTGATGTCAGTAGTGATACTTTTTTCCTGGTGTGAAATCTTGTGCGATTACCGTATCTTGAGCAGGTGGTAGGTGGTGCAAATATGCAAAATATTTCAGTCTTTTATTGTACAGTTTTCTGTCAATTTATACGAATGTGTGAAGATTTCGAGAATAAAACAAATTGCTATTTAACCGTTATTTTATAGTATATTTTTTAAATAATAATTATTATAATTTATAATATTTTTTATGTAGCTTCTAAATATATAAATCTCTTCAATCTTAATTAGAAATTTTAGGTTCGAACCCCAAAAATAATCCCAATAAGAAGTGCTTTCTTATATGAAAACTGAATATCTAGTGGGAAACTTAAAAACAACATTTAAATATTAGAATAAAGAGTTTAATTATAAGTAGTGGTATAGTTAAAATATTTATATAATAATTTTACTTTTGAGGTAACTATAAATAAATATATGGTTCAACTCAAGACCAATAAAAAAGTAAAATTAAATTAACTAAAACTTTAGTGCGTACACATCTAGTGGCTAAGTTTTCAATACGATATATCCCCATTAGCATATATTCTGATCCGCTGTTATTCATGTGTTGATGTTTTTATTATCAACTCATTCACCATCTAATGCTCAATAAATACTACTACCAGAAACTGTTGCTAATTAATTTTTTAATTTCGCACTTACGCTACTATTTAATAATCCCATAAAGCTGAATCGCATTTGATTTCGTTTACTTCCATTAATTGTTCTTTATTTAATGCTTCATTAGTTAGCTGATATAGTACCACTGCATTTTTATTGAGGAGAGATAACATATGCAAGTACAAATTTGTTGTTTTGAACATGGAGATTTGGTAACTTAACATAACTCCAATTTATGGGGAAGCGCACGGTTGACTACTAATAATATATGTATTTACTTTTAAGTCACCGTTTAAAATATTTTTAGTTTTTAGCCACTGCTTTAATAAATTTTAACTGCCCGAACGAAAATACTCTTCTGTTCATGTCCTTAACTTCAGGATTTCAGGACTACATGTCCTTAACTTTTGAACTTGAAACTCTAAGTTAAGGACTACATGTCCTTAACTTTTGAACTTGAAATTCTAAGTCCACGACTACATGTCCTTAACTTTTGAACTTGAAATTCTAAGTCCACGACTACATGTCCTTAACTTTTGAACTTGGAACTCTAAGTTCAGGACTTCAAGGCTACATAAGCGTCCTTAACTTTTGAACTTGTCACTGTAAGTTAAGGACTGCTTATCCTTAATTTTTGAACGTGTAACTATAAGTTAAGGACTGTCTGTCCTTAACTTCTGAACTTGGAAATCAAAGTTAAGGACCTATTGTCCTTAACTTTTGAACTTGTAACTGTAAGTTAAGGATTGTCTGTCCTTAACTTTTGAACTTGTAACTGTAAGTTAAGGAATGCATGTCCTTAACTTTAGAACTTGTAACTGTAAGTTAAGGAATGCATGTCCTTAACTTTAGAACTTGTAACTGTAAGTTAAGAACTGTCTGTCCTTTGTGGACATGTAATTTTTGACTCGCACAGTTTTAAAGTTTGTCATGGTCTTTATATTTTTATTTTTAATACAATCCTTGAAAAATAAAAAAATAAAAAATATATATATATATATATATATACACACACATACATCTCTATATGTTATATACAAAAAATATATAAATTTTATACTCTTTTACAACTACCGAATATAAATAGTATTGGCCGCGGGCTAAAAGTAATCTTTGTCCTAAAAACATTATGAGCATCTCATATTACCATATCAATCCTTTAAGTTCAACCCCAGATTTCTACGCATCGAGTGAGGTTGCTNGTTTTACTATGATTTTTACCTTTGTTTTTACATAACATAGATATATAAAATATATATATAGTCCATAGTATGATATATTAATCACAATTAATTTTATTTAAAAGAAAGGTTCAAAGCTTTATTTGTTTATGGACTTAAAAAGGGGGTTAAAAGTCCCAAATTTCGGCCCAATTTCGGCTAAGACAAGGCCCAAATTTGGGCAACCCAATCTCCTCCTTTGCCCCGTCTGCCCGACCCGCGCAATGCCCGTCCAGACCCGCCCCACTCCCCTCTAAATCCTAGCCCTCCATCCCCTTCAATCCCACGGCTAAGATCTATCCCCGCCTTGGTATAAAAACCTAATTTTACCCAACCCTAAACCTAAACACCCCTAATCAAACCGGCGCCCCCCATCTTTAGCCTCTGTCGCGTCCCACACCAACTCGCCGGAAAATTCACCAAACCCGGCGAGTTCACCAGTCCCACTGGTCCCCCCATCATCTCTTTTCCTTCTTCCACGTAGCGATGAAAACAAACTCAGGATATTTGCTAATGATTTCACCCAAATCGAATCCGCCTTCTCCCTCACGCGCTTTGGTTTTCTTGAGCAAATCTCGGATAAATGGGAGCGGTTGGATGTGAGTGAAAACATCCACGCCTTCCATTTTCCCGATTTTTGGTCTTATGGAAATATTATGAGGATTTTCAGATTTTTGGGGAGGTTTTTCGGATTTTTCTTGGAGAAGAAGAATAGAAGTTTCTAGGGTTCCTATAAATAGGGGGATTTTGGAAAAGGAAGGGGGAGAAGAACTAAGGTTTTAGGCTTCAGAGATCTTTGTTCGGATTCCACAAAAAAAAAATCAAAATTGTACGGTTTCTTATTTCTGTTTCGAAAAAAAACATAAGAATTAGTTCATAGTTTTCTTTGAGTTTTTGTTCAACGATGGAGACTGATTGAGCCGAGGTCGAGTTCAGCGTTCGAGTTTTTTGTTCGTGTTCGCCGCCTCTATTCGTTCGTGTTGCTGTTTTTTTTGTGTTCGACCTTCGCACAAGAGATTGTACTCACCGATTTATCCTGCTATTACTAAAGGAATTTTGGCTCAAACAGGTTCATTTCTTTCCTTTTCGCTCTCATTAGTAGTGTGATTGAAAAAATGATAAGAGCCTAGTTAGTTTGCAATATGTTAAAGAGTCTGTTTAGCCGCGCCTTATTTGGAATTGATACTCTGTTTTACTTTGATATAAATTATATTTCTGTTTTTGAAGTTAAGTTCGTTGTTGGCTTAGCTCGATCTTTTTGAGTTTCTGAACTTTGTTTGTTGTGTAACTTATGGATCAGTGATGCGTGTCGTTTGCAAATTCAATTAGTGTCTTGTATGCTGGTTTGAAATCGAGATCGGGGAGGAATGAATATATAGATTAGTCGTGTTGAAATCTACTTGGATATTTAAATTGATACGTTTGGTTTCATTTTCAAGTTTGTATCCATGTTTTAAAGACCATGTACCAAAAGCACTGTTGAATAGTTTTGCTCGTTTAGTTGAGCTCGAACTTGAAAAGGAGTGTCGGGATTGTCGTTCAAAGTTTTCTTAGAGCCCAATGATCCTTTGTCACGTATCTAAGCACGAAAATTAGCGTGTTTACTTGAATCGACACTTGAGTAGCCTGTGATTACTTTGTTGGATCCGATCCTTGTTCTGCTTGCCTCCATAATTTTTGATGAATCAATTTGTTTAAGAATTACTGTTTATATGATCATAAAAGGAAACAAAAACGGTCTTGTGCATAATTAGGGTTCCTATTAAGGACATGATCACATTTGCTACTTAATAATTGTTCGAGGAGTCTCTTAAACATTTTGGATAGCAGCAGGACATAAATTGGCTCCGCAAGGTTTAATGTCTGGTAAAAGGGTGCTTTTGAAACCAAAGTTATCATTTTCAGAAGTCTAACCTTTGGTACATTAATCTCCTAAATGAGAAACTTCACATTTAGAAAACTATAATGCTTAAACCTCGTTAGGGACAAGCTACTTTGCTTAGATTTGTTTTGCATTGATTTCAAATTGCATTCTTGTAGGATTGCTGATTATAAATGTTAGCAGCTTAATCTATCGGCATGTGTTCAAAATTCTCGATCACAAAGAACCATGAGTTCAACTTGGTTTTGCCATTTGCTATTTGTCTTGGTAGAATCGTCAGATGTACTGCGATTAGTCTGAGCGTTCTTTTGAAATATAGTTCTTTGAGCTGAGAAGTAAGAATAATCAGTAATTAGAATCTTAAGAGGCTCTTATCATATTTTGATCCCTCATTTTGCTTTATTTCTTCTCGTATTCTTTGTGCTCTTGATGCTTTGTTGGACATCTTGAATGATTGTTGGGCCAGGGAATCGGGACAAGGCTGAGCTCGCTAGTGGTTTTATTTGTTGGCATGCTTTAAGATTGGGCTCAGTTTAACAAATAAAATCAACAGTTTAGAAAATGAGCATGATTTAAAATTTTCTTTTATTCGTTTGTTTATTTTGCTATATGGCCCTTTAGGAGCATGTTTTAGGCCGACTACACTTGGGTAGGCAAGCTTTAGGATTTTGTTAGCTTCGAGGCGAGAGGTCATTCCCTTAGTTAAATTTATCTGGGGAATGTCCCGAAGGACTTGCATATATTTTATTCCGGGGAATGTCCCGAAGTACTTGTATTTGGAGACCTAAAGTAGAACTCGTAGTATTTTATTTTCATTTTTATTTTTATTTCTTCTTTTATTAGGTGGGAACGACCTCGAGCCTCTTGTGTGTTTATTTTCCCGTTTCTGTGTTTTTACCTTAATTCGAATATCCTAAAAAGTCAACTTGATCATGTACGCAACCGTGATTTTCACGGGACTTGGGGAGTGCCTAACACCTTCTCCCCGAGTCAAATGAACCCCCTTACCCGAATCTCTGGTGCAGATTTAGTTTTGGAGTCTCAAGTATTTTGAAAGGAAAATATATTTTTATAAAAACGATAACCTGACACACCGAAAT